TAAGCTCTATTCCCAGATTATGAAAAGTAAGCAACCAGATCCAAATCTGATATATCTTTACAAGAAATTCAGGAACAGTGTTGTTAAACATATCAAAGCTAGCAAGTCTTATTACTTAAAGAATTACTTTTTGTGTAACAGGAATAATGTTAAAAAAATCTGGTGAGGAACTAGATCGATCATAAACATTAGTAAGTTAAAACTGACTATATTCCCATCCTTTAAGAAAGTAGCAAATCTATTGACAATCCCTGTGCCATTTCCAACGTTTTTAATAATTTTTTTGTTAATGCGGGTACACCAACAAAGATATTCCACAGGGGAATTGCTGTCTTATCTCTTTTCTAAATGGCAATTTTCCTGAATCAATGTTCCTTTCCCTATCACCTCATTTGAAGTTGAGTCTTACATATCTCAAATGGAAAAAAACAAACCCATTGGTCCCTGCAGTATTCAAGTCCTCTCGCTAAAAATTCGTAAAACCCATACTTGTCCACTTCTTTCATTCCGAATTGATGATTCTTTCCTCTGTGGCATTTTTCCAAATTAACTTAAATTGGCAAAAATTATGCCAGTTGCAATAAAGAACAATATCAGTGCCACCTGTTTTTAGCAAAATATATGAAAAAGCTATGTATAAGCACCTCTATGGTTATCTTGAACGTCATAATATTTTCTACTCACTTCAGTTTGGCTTAAGGCAGAAGTGTTCGACTAATCACTCACTCATAAGTATCACTCAATCTATTTGTTACTCAATTGACAACAATGAGTTTGGCTGTGGTATTTTCATTGATTCAAAAAGGCCTTTGATACAGTAATTAATTCTATTCTTTTGTTGAAATTGCACCTTGTGGAGTAAGAGGTAAGTCTATGATTAGTTTCAATCTTATCAGTATCCAACAGAGAACAATTTGTGGGTATCAATGGTCATGACTCTGATTTCCTATCTGTTACTAGTGGGGTTCCTCAAGGATCTGTTCTTGGTCCTTTATTGTTTTTGTTATAAATAAATGACTTGCCTAATGCCTCAAAATTCCTTACCTTTCACCTATTTGCTGACGAAACATATATTGCTTTTATAGGAACCTTAATGATCTCGAAATAAAGTTAAATCATGAGCTAGATTAGTTGTTGAGTGCATGGATGAAATCTAGCTGACTAGCACTTAGTATTCTTAAAACTAATTTTATTCTCTTTCATTCTAAAAATTGAAACCACACAAGTCACTTAGTCTAAAGATTAATGGTGTGAATATCCAACAAGTTTCCACAGTTAAATATCTAGGTGTTACCTTTAACTAAAATCCAACATGGAAGAATCATATTGATAAGCTTTGCCTAAAACTGTCATAAACTGTAGAAATCTTCTCAAAATTGAGGTACTATGTTGGCTTTGATATACTTTGTATGCTTTACTATTCACTAATCCAGCTCTTTCTTACTTATGTTATCTTAGTTTGGGGTTAATAACATATCCAACTTATTCAAAGCCAGTGATTAATTTGCAAAAGTGTATAGTCAGAATTGTAACATTTTTTGAATCTGTATCACATTCAGAACCACTGCTAAAATCTCTGAACCTCTTCAAATTTTCTGATATAATTCATCTTGAGATTCTTTCTTTTGTTTATTAGTGGTCTCACAAAATAACTCCTTCTTGTTTTACTGATTACTTTAAGCCAATATCTTCTGTTCATTCATATTATACACATCAATCACTGAAAGAGAATATGTTTGTAAATCCAGTTCAAACAACTCAATGTGGTATTCGTTCTCTTCGTTATACTGGTACCACACTCTGGAATTCATCACCAATTAATGTTAAACAAATCACTCCCTTTTTCAGATTTCATGAAAATATAAAGAATTCTACGATTGATGGTTATAATAGTGTCATTAATTCTTAAATAGTTTGTGTAAATAAATTTTAATTCTTAGTAGTTTGTATCAAAAGTAATACTTTTTTATTTAAATTGTTATTAATACTGTATTCCTTTTCATTTAATTATTTACTTTGGGACACCCACTTGATTAGTTCCTAGAACTATTTGGGTGTCCCAAACTCCACACAATTAGCATAGTATTTAAGAGCTAATGTCAGCATGCATCAAACAAACAG